TCTCATTATGATATGAATTATATACCGCGTCCATTTTACAAAATTAGCATTCAATCAATTTAGGTTTTAGTAGAGAAGGCAATTGAGGAGCGCCGCACGTCCTGGGATTCAGGTCTATCAATGTAATTTTTACACTAAGATGCATCAATATATACTATCGTTTTGAAAGAAGAGCAGACTTGGGTGTCTAGGGTACTCGCGCTCCCCTAAATCCGCACTTGTGGTAACTATGTAACCTTATTTATCGATCTGAAGATTCACTGATTGGATCGATAGTATTGAATTTACCTATTCATACACAAGATTTTACCTTTCGTGATAGAAAAAGCCCTGTTAAAAATCGTTAATTGTGCAAAAAATTGTGGTGCGCTGTTCTTGAGTTGTTGTAACCTTGACATTGCCCTGGTAACTAGAGATTGGTAATTGGTTTTTTCTCAAGCTGACTGTGCAAAATTTCGAACAAACTATGAAAATCTGTATACTGTTCAAAGGTATTCAAATGCGTGAGTAAACGATCGTAACCAAACACTATTGTGGACAGGTCACGCTTTAAGCAATTTTTCTAAAATGAGTAATCTAACATAACGTATGAAGTATGTAATAGATAAAACATGTACGATATCGATATGCCCCATTCCGTAAAAAACTGCGTGCCTAACTGCCACCGCTACTGCTTACCCACCAGGAGATAACCATGCAGGAGCCACTTTTATAGCACTTCAAATTAAGGCGTGAAAGGAATATTTTAAGCGCTTCCGATTGGTACTTTCCAAGTTATTGACGGGCCAAGGATTAGTGGAAAGATAGACAACCAGGGCGATGAAAATGAGTGATATGGCTTTTCGTGACGTACACCCAAAAAACATCTCATTTTGGAAATATTTCCCAAATACAATACTTCCTCGTCAATGACGTAGGAGGTAAACAGGTAAAAGCATTATTCTTGGGGGATATCATCATTGCAGCCTCCCCCCGCTCCTCAATTTCCAATCACCGACACTCCCTCTCTCAGAAACACTGATGCAGCCACCGGCATCTTTGTTCCCCAACCAAAACTCTCACTTGGTCCTCCCCTGGGCCACTTGATTTAATTTGCTACAGACCCTGTGCAGGCTTAATCCTGCATTGTGCCATCCTATACGATTTTTTAATCGATTACACTTTGCATGCTATCGAAAGATATGGGGAACAATGATGTCTGGAGCTTGTTTTGAATCCAGTAATAGATTTCTGAAAAATAAGTAAAATAGAAAATAAGTTCTAATTACCCCAGTATTTTTTCACAACACGTGTAATTCGTAAATTAAATAACAGCACAATGATAGGTTCATTAAATCTCCATTTTGCTATAGCAATTAGCTATTCGCACGTGTTTAGATAGATTTGATTTATGCATAATTAAAGTGACACATGTCTCATCGCATGTGGAGACGGTACTATTGACCGTTTCATTTAACTTTTGTAGATGCATAACGTTAACAAGGTGACCGAATGATGATAGATATAATTATACATGGTGAAACAACACAAACACATTCCAGTGTTAAAACCTGTCAACAACGTATTTATATAATAATAGCGTACATGGTATTGGTGATACTCAACAAAGATGAAACAGCGATAGTAGTAGTAATAATGTGTTTCACTATATCTTATCAGTCTAGTTCATTAGGATCTACAACTGCCGCGTGCTGAATATTTTTGCTCCTTGAGGTTGAAAAAAAGTTTTTTTTGTTATAGTTTATTGTCCTTTCCAACATATACAATGTATAGAATTCGTCAGAATGAATATAAAATTTGAAATATAAAAGCAAACAAATATAAACAAATAATTTACAAACAATTGAAACCTTATAAAACACATTATTTCGAGACAGCGTAATAATTTTTTTTTATAAGAAACTGTTTAAGTTTCATTTTAAAAAAGCTCATATCTTTGGCATTTATTATGTCTGCTGGCAAACTGTTAACAATTTTTGGCCCTAAATACCTTGGAGACTTCCTGGATACGAAGTGTTTCACAGAAGGATATATAATTGGTTACATTGTCTTGTATTTACTCATATTTATATACAGGGTGACTTCGAAGTTGAGTCATTTATTTTAACAGTGAGTAGATCTGATCATAAGATCATAAGAAACAAAAAAGCGAAAGAATTTGAAACGCTTATCACGATATTTTTACTACAATTTTATTCAGTTGTATTCAGTCAATGTGTCAGTCGGTAACGCGTGAGTGAATAGTTGTGTTTGTTGAGTGGCTCAAACGAAATAAAAAATGGCACATATTTACGAAAATGCTGAACTTGTGGACATGATTCTTATTTACGGGGGGGGAGTCTTTACAAAATGCTGCCGCGGCATCACGGATTTATGCGGATCGGTTTCCCAATCGCGTGCAACCAACCCCTCGTGCCTTTGTTAATGTAGTACAAAGGGCTCGTGAATCAGGTGACTTAAGACCTCACAGGGGAGGGCATGCCGGATGCCGGTGCTCCAACACCGCACGATCAAATACAGGTCCGCACTGAAATACTTGTCGGGAGGATACTTTATAAAACAAGGTAACATTTTTTTTAATTTTTTTTTTATTTTTACACACATATTTTAAAATTAATGACTCAACTTCAAAGTCACCCTGTATATATACAGGGTGGCCCGAAAAAAGTGTGCAATATTCTACCAGCGGTTTCTAGAGCTTAAAATAGGAAGAAAAGTTTATATAAGCATAGGTCGACAAACGTCCCCTAAGGGCGCTACGGTCTTTTAAAGGGGCTCCCCTGAAGATGGTATCCATACGATGATTTCCCAGTGGCCTTCCTGAGCCCTGCATGCGCTGAAAACTTCCATGATTTGACAAATTCCGGTGAATATCAGTATACATTCGACGTCCAGGTACTATGCGATTGGGAAATCTTCTTTGATATTCTCTTACAGCTGCCAATGAACTGCCATTGCAAAACCCGCACACAAAGTGCATGCCAGTCAGTTCTCTGACTGTGAATCTTGGCATTTTAAATCGATTTAATAAAAATTTTGATTTTAATCTAGTAATTTTACACTGCTAACAATGTCAGCTTAACGTCAAAATAAGTCATAACAAATCAAAACAACTTTTGTTTGCAGTCATGGCTAACTATGTATAATCAACAATTCATTTAAATTCGCAGTACATTTCCTATCATGTGACAAATTTTTTAGTTTGATTTTATTCAAAAATGGCACAATTTATCGATATTCAATAAGAGTACCTTTTTTATGTAGAAAACCCTAAATTTTCAAATTATAAAATTGAGTTTCAAAAATAGAATCACACAAAAATTTTGGGGCTAAAATAACCTGAGTCCGTCCCTCTTACATACGCTTCCAAACAAAACTGTCTAAAATTGTTAATATTTTTAAATCCAGCATAAAAGCTAGGCTTTAATGATAAATTTTATGTCTTTATCTTAACACGTTTCGGAAATATTAAGGAAAAACCATCTTCAGGGGAGCCCCTTTAAAAGACCGTAGCGCCCTTAGAGGACGTTTGTCGACCTATGTTTATATAAACTTTTCTTCTTACTTTAAGCTCTAGAAACCGCTTGTAGAATATTGCACACTTTTTTCGGGACACCCTATATACAGGGTGACTTTGAAGTTGAGTCATTTATTTTCAGATAATGATTGTAGAAGGAAGACAAACCAAAATATGTGTGTAAAAATAAAAAAATAAATAAAAAAATATGTTACCTTGTTTAATAAAGTATCGTCCCGACAAGTATTTCAGTGCGGACCTGTATTTGATCGTGCGGTCTTGGAGCAGCATGCCCTGACCTGTGAGGTCTTAAGTCACCTGATTCACGAGCCCTTTGTACTACATTAACAAAGGCACGAGGGGTTGATTGCACTCGATTGGGAAACCGATTCGCATAAATCCGTGATGCATCCGGGAGCATTTTGTAAAGACTGCCCCCCCGTAAATAAGAATCATGTCCACAAGTTCAGCATTTTCGTAAACATGTGCTATTTTTGATTTCGTTTGAGCCACGCAACAAACACTACCTACTATTCACTAACGCGTTATCGACTGACGAAAAACATCGTGATAAACGTTTCAAATTCTTTCGCTTTTTTGTTTCCGATGCGATGAACCGGTCAGGCGGATTATATCCGTTGTCGCCAAACACGAACATATTATTATTGAGACAGGGCAGTACTCAAACTTCCAAAGGGCTATAACTTTGTTACTTTAATTTTACCAGAAAAATGGTAAAGGAAAAAAACATTTCTTTTGATCAGATCTACTCACTGTTAAAATAAATGACTCAACTTCGAAGGCACCCTGTATATATATATATATATATATCTATATCTTTTAAACAGTTCCCTACAACTATGCATATTATTTACTTCAGCAATGATTCTGACCACTCTTTTCTGGTATATAAGTACATCTACCATTGCATTTGATGCGCATCCAGTTCCGAGCTAGCAGCCGTCGCGAGTATACACTTGTGCAACTGCGACCCACCCGGACATATTGAGCAATCTTATTGCGATTTTCATTGCGATAGATTGGTTGTTTGCCATCTACGATGGCGAAAATTGAGAAGCTGGCTAACCAGCTGAAAGAAAAGAAAGATGCTTTCGCCATGCTAGGAGAGCAGATGCGAAACCTGCAAGAAGCCTTCTTGCAGGCTCAACAAGAGATCGAGGACCTGAACGGGAAGCTCCGCAGGGCCAAGAAGAAGGCCGCAAAGAAGACCGAAGAAGAGGAGGAAGAGGACCACCAGGCTACGTCGGACGAGATGGACGCTCAAGAAGAGGGCACTCAACGGACCGAAGAAATAGAAGAAGAAGCCGAGAAGAGGACCGACGACACCGATTTCAGTGTCGCCACCAGACGGAGGAAGCGGGTGCGAGTTTCCTCCTCAGAAGACGAATCGCCAAGGCAGCCAAAGATGCCAGCTGCCGCAACCAAGAAGAGTCCTAGAGCAGCCAGGACCATCGTGCCCCCCATGTCGGGAACAGGAGTTCCCCCCATCAGCATCGAGGGCACCGCTGACTGGTCATCCTTAAGTAGGATGATAAACAACAAGGGGATCCAATTCTCCAAGGCGAGGACGGCGGGTAACAGTGTGAAGGTGTTCACAAATACACCAGCTGACTATCGTCAGCTAGTCGCACTGCTGGACTCCATCAAGCGGCCCTTCTTCACCTATCAACTGAAGGAGGACAGGATGGACCAGAGGGTCATTCGTGGGCTACCCAGGGAGATGTCAGTCAATGACATCAAAGAGGATCTAGTGAGCCAAGGCATCGCAGACGCCGAGGTTCAGCAGATGACCTCAAGGACCACCAAGAAGCCACTTCCGCTCTTCCTCGTCAAGACGAAGATGCCGGAAAAGCTTGCAGAGATCCAGAGGCTGACCATGCTCACGGTCAGCTTCGAGAGGAAGAAAAAGTCCACCGAGCCCAGCCAATGTTACCGCTGCCAGCGGTACGGGCACACACAGCGGAACTGCCGTCTCGCTGAACGGTGCGTTAAGTGTGGAGAGGACCACAGCAGCACCACCTGCAGTCTGCCAGCGCCGCCAACAGGACAACGAAACGCCAAGTGTTGCCTTTGTGGAGAAGGCCACCCCGCCAACTACAAGGGATGTAGTAAGGCCACGAGGAAAGCTGCTTCTGCCCCCAAAGCAGTTCCCACCACAAATAGGACCTCTTACGCTCAAAAAGCGAAGAAACCTATGTCCACTTCTGCCCCAGCAGCCGCCACTGCTACTGGAACTACTGCGCAGAAGCAACACGGCGATGACAGACTGCTAGCAATGATGCAAGCCATCATAACCCGCCTGGATGCACTCGAGGCCAAGATGCAAGACAAGCATTAGACCCGAAATGACTAAAGGGCAAAACGTAGAATCTCTACGCATCATCTTCTGGAACATCAACATATTCAGGGCACGGAAACCAGAAATCCAGGAGATACTAGACCAGTACCAACCAGAGGTGATGGCCATCCAAGAAACGAAATTGGATGCTGCCCATAGTCTGACGTTCCCGCGGTACGAGACGTACCGCTACGACAGAAGAGGCAGAGGTGGAGGAGTTGCATTACTCGTCAAACGTACCTTGACGAGTCATGTCCTCGACGATGCCGCAGACATCAATGGGGACGGAATCACGGTCCAGGTCCATCACAACCACCGTCCCTACAGAATCACCTCCCTATATGTGCCACCAGGGGAGGCCCTAGACGAAGATGACATCGCTGACCTCCTGAGAGGCCCAGGAGTACGCATAGTCATCGGAGATCTAAACTGCAAGTCTCCGGCATGGAACAACAACGTCGAAGACAGGAATGCAAGGCAGCTCCAGGAACACGTTGATGCCCTGGCGGGGGTCATCGTCGGTCCGGAGCAACCAACCTACATTCCATTCGGCCTTGGGCGACCTGCGGTACTGGACATAGCCATCCTCCGCAACATTAGAGAGGAGTTCGAGATAGAGACCCTGGTGGAAGGATCGTCGGACCACAATCCGATTCTACTAACACTTGGCACAGGGTATAGAACTCGAGATAGCTTGAGCACCAAACGAACGAACTGGAACCTGTACAAATCCAACGTCCAAAGGACCATCACTCAAATTCCAACCATCCGATCAGCGGAGGAACTGGACAACGCAGTAGAGGAGCTGGATAATGCTGTCCTGCGAGCGCACGAGGACAGCACCCGCTCCGAGACTACGGCAGTTCCTAGACACCTAAATGGTCCAGCACCGCACCATATTAGGCACCTGATCAGGGAGAACAGAAGACTCAAGCGAGAACATCTCCAACTGTTGACAGAGGAGTCGAGAGTTGCGCGAAACAGAGCATCGCTAGCTCTGAAGAACGCACTCGCGGAACTCCAAAACAGCAGATTTAATGCAGCCTGTGCAGAACTAGAGACCCAGGATGGTACGGCCTGGACTATGCAGCGAAAATTTCGTCGTCAGCGCACCACGATCCCCACTCTTCACGGCCAACGCGGCTTGGCCTACTCCAGTGAAGAAAAACCCGAAGCATTCGCCGATTCGCTAGAATCCGAATGCAGACTCAATTACCATGAAGACGAGGACGACAACCACGAGGAGGCCGTGGAAGTCGCAGCCGAAATCATGAGGAGTCGACCACCTGGCCAGGAGACGGATCATCCCTCCAGTCCAGAGGAAATCCGTCTGATCATCCGCAGGTTGAAGGTCAGAAAGGCACCGGGAAGGGGCGGCATCAACAACAGGATGCTGAAAAACCTTCCCACCAAAGGCATTGCTGCGCTCACCAACATCGCCAATGCCACTCTGAGACTTAACCACTTCCCGCGGCGGTGGCGGGAAGCCCAGGTTATAATGCTCACCAAGCCAGGCAAGGACCGGAAGTTGCCCCAGAACTACCGGCCCATCAGCCTGGTTTCCTCGATGGGCAAAGTAGTCGAAAAGGCTATAGCCGTTCGACTAGAGAAGCAGGCAGAAGAACTGCAACTTCTCCCCCCAGAGCAATTCGGCTTCAGATCCTCCCACAACACGGAACTCCAAGCGCTACGACTGACAGAAAACATCACCAGCGGCTTCAATCTCCAGGAGGCAACCGGTCTCGTCCTGCTGGACGTGGAACGAGCCTTCGACCGAGTTTGGCACGATGGACTCATCGCCAAAATGGAAGCCGCCGGAATCGATGCGAACATGTGCCAACTGATCCAGAGCTATCTAACACAAAGATGGTTCACGGTGAAGATTGGTACATGCCATTCAACAAGAAGACAGCTGGAAGCAGGCGTGCCCCAGGGGTCAGCCTTAGCCCCCTGCTCTACAACATCTATACTCACGATGTGCCGAAGACAGCTGACACAATGCTGGCCCTATATGCAGGCGACACTGCTATAGCCGCCAAGCATAGGCGACCCGAGATCATCCGTAGGAGACTACAGGATGAACTGGGCCACATCCAGGACTGGTGCGTGAAATGGAAAATCCGAATCAACGTCCAGAAGACGCAGGCAATCTTCATTCAACGAAGAAGGATTGCAAGACCTCTCGAAGCATCCATCTTTGACGAAGATATCCAGTGGAGCGACAAAGTCAAATATCTGGGGATAGTATTTGACAAGTCCCTCACCTGGAAAGCCCACATAGAAGCTGTCATCGCAAAGACCAGAGCAGCCATGGCTCAACTCTACCCATTACTGGGTAGACACAGCCGGATGCCGCTAGCGACCAAGCTACGGCTGATCAAGGCCATCGCCAGACCTCAGCTCGCTTACGCCTCCGCGGTCTGGGGGTACGCTGCCCCCAGCTACCGCAAGCGACTTGCTGCTCTAGAGATGAAGCTACTCCGGATCGCCACCAGTGCACCATCCTACGTAAGAAACTCAACCTTGCGTAGAGACCTGCATTGGGACACCATCCACGAGTACATGAGGAAAAAAGCGGAGAAGACCTTCGAGAAAGCTCAGGACCACCCGAACGAGCAGCTACGATTCCTCATGGACTACGATCCGGACGAGAGGCCTCGCAACCGCAGAACCAGATACCCAAGACCCGCTAACTGGAACCTTGACTAGGAGACAAGGAGAACCCGCGGTTGCTCCCCCCCCCCCCACGGCGTGGATGCAGAGGACCAGGAACCACCGGGACCAGGACCCACCGGGACCAGGACCAACCAGGACCAGGACCCGCCACGACCAGGACCCACCAGGACCAGGACCCTTCAGGACCAGGACCAGGAACAACATATTGGTAAGAGGACTTGAAACTCTTGATTTTTCGAAAACAAGAGTTTCAAGAGAACCTAGCAGACCCTCTATCGATGATCGCTTAACGACATCGATAGAATGTGCGAGGTAAAGGGAACCAACCCGGCGTTCCCAGAGACTGAAACACATGAGGAGACGTTGTAGCAGACCGCAGGTCACGCACAACACATGGCCTACCGAGACGCTGATGAGTCGGGCCACGCGGAGGTTTAGGGTTTAGTGGGTATTAAGTGGACAACCTGGAGTCCCACACACGCCGTAGCTCGGGCTATGGTATGGTGCGTAAACGCATTCCCCCCTCACCAAAAAAAAAAAAAAAAAAATTTGATGGGCCCTAGCCTGGATTCAACCTGTGCATAGTACAGACTGATAAGTTGATTTTCATTTAGACCTCTTCGTAAATTTTTATAAATGTACATATATGAATGTGAATTTAGAACTGACATCATATATTTGCAATGTGCTTTGAAATTTAAATATTCATCTAAATATACTGCCAAAAATTTAGTGTCGTCATGGAACTTGACTTGTTTATCATCTAACATGATACTCATGTCATCTAACTTCTTCTGTACATTAACACATCAGTCTTCTCTGAGTTTATAAATAATTGATTTTGTGCCAAATATTTTTTAAGATGCTTCGAAATATCATTAAATTTCGTGACCAATACGTTATCGTGAGGATCTGAAATTATAATCGTCTGCATAAAATGTAAAATCTACATGGCCATTGAACAGTTCACACAGATCGTTTTTATACAGGATAAATAAAAGGCCCTAATATAGATCCTTGGGGAACTCCCATATCAATATTAATATCAATATTAACGCATGAAGGCCGGGCTTGCTTTACCTATTTCTGTAATATAATCGTGTAATAGAGAAACATATTGTGACCTGTTATCCAAAAAAGATTTGATTCATGTGAGATAGCTGCCAGTGATTCCGTAACCATGTAGTTTTTTTTACAATATTGCATGATTAACGCAGTCAAAGGCCCTGGCACAATCACATAAGATCCCAATAGGATACTTGCCAGCCGCAATCAGATCAATTAGTTTTCCATAAAATGAATATATCGCTGTAGTGGTGGATTTATTATTATAGAAACGATGTGGTTCATCAGTAAGTATGTTATTCCTCACAATGTATGAATGTAATCTCTATGAAAACCTGCATTCAAATATGTTTGAAAAACAAAAAGGCACAGTTACTGGCCTGTAATTATTCATATCGGCAGGGTCACCCTTTTTAAATATTACCACAAATTCAAAACAGATACGATGTTTTTTATTCTTGTGGGGAGCATATGCCACTTTTAGCTCGTGTGAATCTTCACCAGAAATTTGAGTGACTACTTTTGCTCGGTAAGCAGAGCGTTTGATGTTTGTCAGTGCCTGCAGTGAATTCTAGCCATTTGGTTCAAAACGATACGTATTAAGTTTCTGAAAAAAATTGGAGCGGTTAAAATATTCCTTTACACCTAAATTTAAAGAAGTTTTTACGGAATGGGGCATATCGATATCGTTCATTTTCTTATCTACTTCACACTTCATACGATACGCTAGATTACACAGAAAAATTGCCTAAGGCATGAACTGTCCACAATAATGTTTGGTTACGCATGATTTACACACACACATCTGAATACCTTTGAAAGGTATACAAATTTTCATGATTTGTTCGATATTTTGCACAGTCAGCTTGAGAAAAAATCAATTGCCAATCCTTAGCCACCAGAGCAATGTCAAGGTTACAGTAACTCAAGAACAGCGCACCACACGTTTTTTGCATAATTAGCGATTTTTAACAGGGCTTTT